CCTCTAAACCATGACCCTAAATGCCGCATCTACACGGCTTTTAAATACCTCCAGGGATGGTGACCCAAACACTTCCTCGGGCAGCCTGTTTCCAGGTGCTTTACAACCCTTTTGGTGAAGAATTTTTCTCCTAACGTTCAATCTAAACCTCCCCTGGCACAACTTGAGACCATTTCTTCTTGTCCTATCACTTGTTCCTTGGGAGAACACAGAACTCCACCTCACTACAACATCCTTTCAGGTAGTTGCAGAGATCAATAATGTCTCCCCTGAGCCTCCTTTTCTCCAGATGAAACATCAATGTCTTTTCATTTACCTACTCACAGGTACATACCTACTGTAAATCATTACTATTCAGCAGTGCATAGAAATGTTCTTTTTCCTCTAGTAAAAAAATGGATTCAAGAACCCAGATTTCTGGAAGCAATTAATTGTTTTGGTAGTACATTTTGCGGGACTTAGAAGGATCTTTATACCTGGGTACTCAATTGTTTCAGCATTTAGCGTCCTCTTAAAATTAATGCCTATCTGTAGGCAAAATCTAAAACTTCAAACTGTTTTACTTTCAGCCTTACTGCTGAATTGGAGTTTATATTTTTAATCTGTCATTTAGAGAATGAGTAACACTTGACCAAATCTTGTTCAGTTAAGGCTCTACAAATATCTTTCTGTATTCAGATGACTTTTTTTTTTTTAATTTTTGTGTTACAATCTCATATACTATTGTCATTGCCTACCATCTTTAAACTCAAATCAGCCTAACCTTTACATGGCAAGGCATTGTTGCAAAAGGAAAATGGCTTCAGAGTAACAACTGCTTAGAGACAGAACATTAGCTGGAATGTCTGGGGCAGTAAGCTAGCTAAACTGGTTTTGAGGCAGTTTCCAATGCCAGCAGGTGGCACTACCTTTTTTATTGCATGATTATTTTTATAATTCAGCATCAATGTAGACATACTTTATTTTTCAACAAAGGCTTTCTGAAAATGTCATTAGAAAGTTTGTTTGCAAAAGACTATAATTACTGAGAAAACCAGAGCAATAAATTTGTTACGTACTGCTGTTGTTTACTATTCCAGATTGAGCGTAATTCATATGCTGTTCTTAGAGCAACAAATGTACCACAGGAATCTGCCTATTACTAGTTTACTCTCTCTTTCCTGATCTGCTTTTGGTCCATATAATCTCAGATGACCTGTAACAGCTGACTCGTGTTAAGAATCTCCTGAAGGGGCTTTTCAGCCTGAATGATGGAACTTTTTACTGGAAAATTATTTCTGTACCCTTGAATGTCAGGAATCTTTCTATTCATATGTCCATATGGAAATACACTTCCTTCAGCTCTGTTGATGCATGGCAGCACCTTCTCTAGTGTCTGCGACTTGTTGAAGTGTGAATATCCATGAATATTCTTAGGAACTCTGTAGCTACTTAAACACCTCAAGTCTGAAATAGTCTCCAGCTTCTCATTTTTAACAGAAAGAAAACATTTACATTTTCTTAAAGCTGTCTTTTCAGTGAATGCTCATACTTCTGTGAAGAGCTAGTATATGCATGGTCTTTTTGGAAGAAATGTAGTGAAAGAAAATGTATGTTTGAGGGCCAAATTAAGAGAATGTGGTTATCATTAGTTATGTCTTCTAGCTACCTCTACTACTATGATACATAAAACACTTCATAGTATATTTAGTAGTCTTTTGAGAGATGCTCTGATCTCAGATGTAATGATTTTGGCAGTGTGCAACCTATGATCATGAGATAATGAAAGTAAATCACCACTGAGTTCTTTTGTGCTCATATGTCTATTGGGTTCATCTTGCCATCTTTAGTGACAGACAAGAGAATATTAGAGAATTATTGGTGAAAGCTGTTTTCTGTAACTGTGTACAGCTAGTGGCACAGAAAAGCTCTCATTCAGTTTGAGTGAATAGAGTCTGCAGTGGAAAAGATCAACTCTTGGAATAGGGTGCTGGGTGAATAAGAAGGTGAGGACTATGAAATTCACCAAAGGTACTTTGTAAAATAACTCTGAACATAAATAATACTTGCAGTTGTATTTCTGAAGTAGTGTGTGTGTTATCATCTCCATACCTTACAACATGAAAGGTATTTCTTTCCCAAACAACATATAAAAGTGAGAAAGAAATTGCCTTTACCACAGACAGGGAAGTTAAGCACAAACCGAAGAGCTAAAGCAAAAAATAATTTGACAAATAGTTTCAGAATTGACTTGTTGACATTTAGTGTTAAATTTTGCATTTTGGGGTTTGAGATTTTTTTTCTGAAAAGAACATTAATATGTAACCTCTGAAAAATAAAATTACTTTAAGTGCTGAAGGCTGGAATCTTAACATAGGATATAAACAGAACCTTTATTTCAGAAAATAGTGTCTTAACAATTAACTCATTTTATTTATTATCTCATTCTCTACTGGTGGTGAAGACCAATAGAAAACATTGTTGTGATCTTTCACAAAGATAAATTGGACTCTAAATTGTTAGGGGTATTGGGAAGGTAAAGTTTATGATCACAGAGCAAAAGAGTGTAGAAGGCAGGTAAGGGCACAAGGGCACATCTCTGAAGACTTCTTGTTCTGACAAATAAATCAAGAGGCAAAAGCAATAAAATATGTATTTCCATCAGCTTATGCTCCACATACACTTTCAGAAGGTCAAATGCACATTAATCCAAAGCTAGGTTTTCTTTCTGAATATTTGATACTTATTTTAATCAGTTTCCACTTTCAAGAAGTAGATACACTTGTCTACAAATTGTATTTATTTTTGAACAATTAGTGTCTGCTTCCAGCAGCAGTCCTGCCTCTGCATCAGCTAACCCTCACAGTAAGTGTTTTAAAAAAAACTATAAGATTATTGGAGTTTGTTTGTTTTTTCCCCCTTTTATTTATCTAACAAACAAAAACAAACAAACAAACAAACACAAACAAACAAACAAACAAACAAACAAACAAAAAAAAAAACAACAACAACAACAACAACAACAACAAAAAACCACTAACATCTGCACCTAAAAGTTTAGGCACATCTATTTTTTTCCCAGCCTAACTGAAAAGGAGCAACTTTCTACAGCCTTCTAAATCTGAGTATATGCTTAACATTCAATTACTATGCAAAATAAAAATAAAACATTTATTTCTCTTAAAAAAAAATCTAAAATAATATCTAAAATAAAATACACGTAACTGATGTAGAAACAAGTTACACTGTGTCTTTATTAATGATAAAATGAAACTACATTTACTATAATTATATTGAAATAATGCCGTTGAAAATAGATCTTTCTGTCTGATTTGCAAAAGATCATTGTGACTTCTTTTAGTATCCAGAATCTTGCAAATAGATCACCAATATTCATGGAGCACCTGCAATACTTACTCTTTCAGTATTTCAATAAATGGCACATGGAAATAATTACTTTGTTCCTCCAAATAAGAGGCTTTTGTGTGCTATAAATCTCATTTTTAAGACTGTAGTAACAATGAACATTTTTTAGTTACTTTATTCCAATTCCTTATCTATAAATTAAGCTATCAATTCCTGTAAAAAATTGTCAGTTTGTTTTTGCCTCTGACGAATGTTCATCTCTTGCTTCAGTGGTTAGAATATTTTCTTCTCTTTATCTGGATTACTAGTTCTCAGACTGTGATTTCAGAACTGTTAACGATCACTGACTGGTGAGTCTCGAAATAAAGTGATGTGCAAGCAAAAGGTAGTCAGGACTGGACAGTTTCAAAGTGTTCTAAGTCTTTTTCAATAACTACTGTGCAGAGTGAGGAGCCTGGAGAATACTTGAGTTTCAAAGATGCATTTCTTAATTTTCCATTTTGTAGGAATCACCAGTTTTTCTCTTGAGTAAACATGATAATTCACATTTTTATCAGAAATACTGTGGAATATTCTGCTTGTGTGTTTTCTTACCGTTTGTGTATTCTCACAGAATTTGATATGTTTTGCTTAGAGTTATAAATAAAGACATTCCTTAAGGAAATGCAATATATTATTACTGGTCTCAGAATACACTTCTCTACTGTATGCAAGGCTGATAAGAATATATTGAACGGAGGCTGACTCACAGTTTAATCTATCAGTCACTGAAAGCAAAACATTTTCAATTTGTTAATCCTCATACTACTTTATACTGTGTCTTCTGGTTGTTTTAGGGGTTCAGTATTTCTGGTTTTATAGTAGGTTTCATAAAAAATACCATTTTTAGCTGAAATAAATGATTTCGCAATGATGAGAAGCATGGTTCTTTTATGTACCATTTTATACAGAATTATTTCAGCTGTTTAATATTATAAACTGTGTTTTGAAATGGAGATTTCTCTGAATGAAATGTCCTGTGTCTCTTAAAATTTGATGGATGAACTCTATCAGACCATGTGTTTTAAATGCCTGTGAACAGAATTTTGTTACGTGTTTTGTAACACTGATCTGAGACAGAAACTTTTTCTCACAGTACAATTGGTAGTTGTCAATGCTCTTTCACTTATCCATGTACTAAAATTATTTCTAAAAAAATTTAGGTTTTTACTGAGATTTTCTGTGTGTAGTAAATATTAGCATACAAGCAACAGTTTGTGTATTTGGGGACTAATGTGAAATATTAAAAAAATTGTCTGCCTGCCTTGAGTGGGTTAGTGCTGTTATTAAATTGGACTGTGAAAGTTAAATTGCAGAAGATATAGGTCATATTTTTAGCTACTATAAGTTCTTTTTACTTTAATTTGTCTCTCCTTAGTATTTCTTAGTTATATATCCCACTGACTTTCAAATAATCATTATGGATGAAGACATTATAATAGCTACAAATAGAAGAGCAATTCTTGTGGATGATATAGTAAAATTATTGTGTTGAATCCCTAGCAGTTGTTGAATATTCTAATTCCACATTCTTTGAAAACCTACAGTGATATACACTTAGATATGTAATAAGTTAGTTTTAAATGTATTAATTAATTACATATGTTTCCCTGCAGGTGAAGTGTGATCAATACTGGCCAAGCAGAGGCACTGAAACGTATGGATTAATCCAAGTGACCCTTTTAGACACTGTTGAATTGGCAACATACTGTGTTCGTACATTTGCGCTTTACAAGGTATATATACTTACAATATACTTTAAAATTTAAACGGAGGCAACTTTCACCCTTCCCTTCCCTTCCCTTCCCTTCCCTTCCCTTCCCTTCCCTTCCCTTCCCTTCCCTTCCCTTCCCT